CTATCAAATTTAAAATACCAAATTTTAAAATACTACCATTTATTTAAACAAACTACTACTAGTTAATAAAAATACCAAATTCAAAGAAATCTATCAAATTTAAAATATCAAATTTAAAAAAAATTATCAAATTCAAAAACACCAAGTTTAAAACAAGCTACCATTTCTTAAAAAGAATTACTATCAGCTTTAAGTTTGAATTTGAAATCAGCAAGAATCTTCGACCGATTAATTACAAAATTCCGGTTACAGAGGTTATCGATGATGTCTGCGAACACTTTCATCCATCACGCGTCAGTTTGACACTTTCTTATTACGTTGTTATATTGCACGATTGCAGTAAAATTTGCCAGCGCTCGCATTATTGTTGGCAATTAACTGGCCAGAGAGACGGGCAATTAGGATTGCGCAAACGAGATTGCCGACCGATCTTGCAAACGAATCACGTCCCCGTGTAATGCAACGCGCGCCCGCAGCACGCGGGCCAATTGTGCGCGTAACAGGTGAGCCACTTGACAAATGTAGATTTCGCGAGCGGTATTCTCGTCGCGTCACGTCGTTACAAATTTTTGCACTCCTTTCTTCGGACAATGCCGAGCCACGAGCAACAACGCTCGCGAATCAAGAGCTGTGTTTGAGAGTGACAAATCCTGAGAGTCCGAGAGGAAAACTTATCAATCAGCAATATCGTCACAGATCGATAACTGTTTGATTCGTTTTTGTCATTATCGGCGTGAGTAATAAACCGTGTTCCTCGAGGGTGCTTCGCAAATCGAGCGAGAGATCTTTATCTCATCGAACGACCTTAACCCTTTAAGTGTTTCATTTCGTTTCGTGAACGAAAGCACTTGCGCTCGATTGTTTTTATGAAAATAAGTTTCAATGGCATTTAAGAAAATCAAGTTTTCCATGAAAATAAATTCGAGTTTTATACTCAACGAAAGCGGAACAAGAGAGAGAGAGAGAGAGAGAGAGAGAGAGAGAGAGAGAGAGAGATCATCTGTCGTAGAATTGAAATAAATGATAATACAGAGTATTGTTCAAAAGTTTCTTCCCACCTAATTTCTTTTTTTTTTCTTTTTTTTTTAATAAAATGTCAAAATAAAATACGAGAGAAAACCAGTTTCATTAATTTTGAATTAAATTCAAGTTCAAATCACATGATTCTTTCCACTGTGTTTTAAAAGTTTTCTATTACAAATGTTTATCATAAAATTGTATTATTTCGTAAAAACAATTGCATGAAATAATAACTATATTTTATACAAGTTTTCGCCTAATTCGAATTCCTATCAAACTCGAGCGATAACCTCGAACATATTTTCGCTGCTTTTGCTGTCTGTAATATATAGATTGTGCCTGGCCACTGTAATTATTTCTCGTTACTTGGCGGAATGTCTTCCAGAGTCTTTGGTGGATGTGAAACAAATAGAACGAGAGGAACGAGTTCGTAGAGACTCTTGACTCTCCTCGTATGTGGAGCATTAGTTACGAGCGACCTGGAAATTTCTCAACAAAACGGCCAATAAACTGTACTCCCTGACCGTGAGGAAAGCCTTTCATCCGTTAACTGAGACTTCTCCTCTCTCTTTCTCTCTCATTCTGTTAAGAAAATATGGCCACGGATCGACTATGGCAACAAAGGGAACTGGATCACAATTCCAAATGTACGTCGCGTACAAGTCTGCGAATTATCCGTTGCAAATGGCCGTTTACGCTCAATATTTATTAAATTACGCAGCCACGAAGAAAATTACGAAGCGGAGATGCATTCACGCCGGGTTTTCGCCCAGTGTTGTCGTTCGAAAGAACGAGGCAACTACGTTGGAGTTCAATTCCTCCATCAAGAAGAAAGAACAATCTCTTGAGATATAGCTTAACGAAGGGAACTTCGCGCTCGTTTAGGCTCTCCCTTTCTCGCTTGCTGTCGTACTCGTTTGCGACTTTCTAATAATCTGGAATCCCGTAAAAAGAATATGCAGCGAAAAATGAAGAATTAATTGAAAGTAAATCGCGAACAATTTTAATTGACAGAAGGTCGGTAGAATTCTGTTGATATCACTTCTCCAAATATTCCTGCGTGCATTATGTTACATTCATCCACTAATATTGGGGGTAACGATCTCTTTTCGAGATATTTGTAGATTTACTTGGGATACTGCTTTCAAACAAGACTCCTGAAATTTGGCAATATTTTGATACACATTGTCATCATGATTTTTATGGACATTACTGTGATTTCGTATTTTTGTTGTTGTTTGCAAAATTATAAATTATCGTAATGTCTATGATATTTATACGTTTCAACAAACTTTATTGACACGTGTCAAAAATTCTTTCAAAATAATAAGTTATGTATATTGACAGTGATAGTTATCTACAATCATAGACAATGATATTTATCTACAGGATCATTTAGGGGTGCTTGTTTCTCCTGTAAACATACTTTGCAATTCTATCATTTCTTTTTTTAAGGTACATTACGTATTTACTCTTCCTTTGAAACACCTTTTCTTTCCTTTTTATTTCTGCTCTAACAAAGCACTAAATATGTTACACACATTACAATATTGTCATATTTTGTTGCACAGTATTATCTTATTCCATGTTAATAAACATCTATTTTCGTGTTTCTTTCGTATATTTTATAAAGGAAAATTTACGTGTAACAACAAAAATCAGAACTTCCCAACCTTTGACGAGGGAAAACGTTACTTCCCGGTAGCCTTAATAATTCCAAAGTCGACGAACCTAGACATGAAAAAGACAACTGGCTTCGTATACATATCTGGCTTCTAACGATGTGACACAGTTACGCAAACTAGCGGATTAGAGGAACGTTATTGAATATCGAAGTACCACGGCACACGATCCCGTCCTCGAAAACTTTCGTACGTACGTACATGCGTACTGCGAACGTAACGAATATGTCAGGTCCAATAACAAATTCTACAATAATAATAATAATAATAATAATAATAATAATAATAATAATAATAATAATAATAATAAAATAAAACGACTAAAACAAATTGAAAAACATCGACACGATGGAACGCGCGTGAAACACAAATGACAAACGTCGCATTAATGCACTTTTATAATTGCCGTACTTTTCACAACGTGGCCTCTGGAAACTAGAACGCAGAGTGATCTGTTTTAATCTTCCGAAGTTCTAAGTGCTTCAAACTGATAATTAATTGACGTGAAAAACTTCGTGAAAATTTACAGAGCAGAGTGGGTGGCAGAACCTACGGCAGCGTTGCGAGGCGACAGAAAGTCGTGTCGTTTCTTTTTTTTTCTTTTTTTTCTTTTTTTTTTTTGGTATCCTTTTGCAGAAAGCATATCGCGAAGCGTGTGATTGATGAAGCGTCCCTTGTTTTAACAGGCGCGGTCCAAATGGAAGATAACACATCGTATTTGAAAACACGTATCGATCATCGTGCACACGCAACCACCGCCATTCGATCACCAGTGTATTAACTCCTGGATTTTCTTCGACGAAACCTAAACTAAGTTTGCCATACGTTTCTCCTAACCCTTTCATTGCGAGCAATCCATCGACGCAATGGGGTAATCAGATGTTAAAAGTAGACTTTGGGCATCGAGACGAGCTTTCTATTCGACAGTTATTTACACGATAAGAAATTAAATTGCATGAAATTGTAATAAAATTGCAATAAATTATGAAATTGTAATAAAATTGTAATAAATTATGAAGTTGTAATAAAATTGTAATAAATTATGAAACTGTAATAAAATTGTAATAAATTGTGATAAAAAATTTATTCTATTAAATTTAATCTATTAAATCTAAAAACTAAATTTAGACCGAATCTATTGTAATTCGGAAAAAATCGACTACACTGTACAACTGTTAATCAAAATTAAAAATTTAAGTTTAGATTTTTGCTTGAAAAAAAAAAAAGAAACATTTTAGGCCTCTGCCAAAATGTTACCAAGAAATTCAAAGAAGATTCGACAATGGAATATATACATACACGATAAGAAATTATTGTAATAAAAAAATCTTTCCCAATCTATGGGCGTAACTGTTAATCTCTTAAAAATTTAAGTTAGGGGTTAGATTTCTAGTTAGGTTAGATTAGGTTTCAGAGTTTCGTTTGACGAATCAAAATTAATTGAAAAAGGACATTCTGGGTCCCCGTCGAAATGTTACGAGGCCATTTAAAAAAGATTCTATTTCAAAATGGATGAACGGACTCGGAAAATGACTCGATCAATGCGTGCAACACTTTTAGCTCTCCGCCAGAGCGAAAGGGTTAATTCTATCAATATCTCCCGCCCTTACGAATTTCCTCCGCCACACGAAGATTTTACGGAACTTTCTTCTTCGTACGTGAGCTTCGAGGAGCCGCTGACGCGGAGCGGAGAGTCTCCTGGTAATCAGCTTACCAACTCGAAGAAGCCCTATCGACGCGATCCACGCCGATGCGGGGGAGAAAAACTGGCAACCAGTTGGTAACGATCGCTTCACGCGCCCTGCCACGAAAAACTCCAGAGTAAAACGGAAACACTGGTGCGGTGATAAGCTTCGAGGGCTGGCGAAAACCGGACGTCGAGTGGCGTGATTCGCTGAACACATCGGCCGGTGATCGACGGAAAACTGATTCATCGCGGTGAGTTCGCCGGTCGCCGATCGAAACCTCGGGATTTAGTGATTTGGTTTTGGCGAACCTCGTGAAACACACCCGTCCCCACTTTGACGAGAAAAGAGCGGGCGAGAAACGATCGTCCAACTGTGAAACATCGTACTCGCGGAGGTAACTCGCCTCCTGTTGTCTCTCCCTTTGTTTCGTTGAGGTCGAAGAGGCGATTTATGGCCAACGATCGAGATAGAATATCGTTAACCCATTTGCATCACGACTTAAATTGCACGTGTCTCGCTAGAGAAACTATTTATCGATCCCTTGAATCTAACGTATCGCTGAGTGATACCACGCGTGACAATTTCGACAATTTTCCGTTAGATATATCTATGAAGCGATAGTGTTTCAATTTCTGCTCCACGTGAGAACGGACGATAAAAGAGCCTCTATCTTATCAAATTGTTCGGTCATACAACGCGACGGCGCTAACTTTTAGGGGGCAACTTTAAAATCGCGTTTCGACCGCGAGCAAAGTCGAAGGCTCGAACACAGTTTCAAGCCTGGCGAGGAGAGAAAAATTCACCTGCTCACGTACGAAAACAAGCTAACATTTATTCACGCTTGTATCTATTCATGAGACAATTACAATATGCTGATCCAGTCGCGGCGCAATTTCGGGGATTGAACTCGCACCAGACCGATAGTCGAGTTTCGCTGGGTCGACAGAAGAGACAAGGAATATTAAATCTTTCGCCTCGTCTCGTTCTATCAAATTTGTCACCTTTGCATTTCACTTCTTTACCCTGCTCAAAGGAAGGGCTCGACATTCGCGTCGATATACTCATTTAATGTCAATTAAATTTCTCTCTTAACGAGACTTATGTAATATTAAAGTCTGGCGGGACGATCGATACACGACGATGCAAAGCGCCCGAACGAAGAGAGGAACGAGGACCCGGAACGAACGGAGCGGGCAGCATTTCACCGATGAAGAATCTTATAATTGTCTCTCGGTTAACGGCTAACTATTTTTGCCAGTGGCGCTCCCAACTTTTGCCATACATTATGCGAGTTCCAGCGGAAATAATGGAAGAGCAAACTTCGGTAATTAGAAGCTCAATAGAGAGGTCCAAGTTTTCGAGGAGAAACAAGTCTGTAATAAAGGGTGGGAAGTCTGTTTCTATAGTGTACAGGTATCTCGCGTAGGAATTTTATAACGGAGATTTCGCGTGGTTGTTCCTCTGCTAAATTCGAAATCCGACTGACACGCTCATTATGTATATCAGCATTGGTCATTTGTTAAACGATAGTCAACTTCGTTGGACCGTAGTTTGTTCTATTTCCACAAATATTTCAGAATATTTTAGAATTTAATTTTTATTAAAATACAAATATGTATTTTAAAACAGAGACGTGTGTGTAACTGGCGGCCCGAGAGTCCCATCGCTAGCGGTTACCCCCTCCACTGCATCTCCCCATTCAGAGAGTGAAATTTCAATTGTAGTGGGGAGATCGATGTAGTGGAGGGGATAGCGCTAACGACCAAGGGCCGCCAGTTAGACGCCTCTGTTTTAGAATAATCGGAACGAGATGAATATTGCTAATGAATTTTGAATTTTTAACATAAATAACCAGATGAAATTTCGAAATAAAAAAAAGTACGCTTCCGTTGTAACATAATATCTTACGCCGAAATTAAATACGCCGTCCCACAGACGGAACGTGAATGTTAATCGACGCGTTGATTAAACAACAAGAGTTGATCGTAATGTATCACAATGACTGAAACTTGTTATTTTCCGAGAGATTATTCTCCTTTACAGATCAAAAAGATACGTGCGAATTATCGATCTAAACGGAGATAAGGAGTTTTTCAAGCGACGCGTGGGCGTAGAAATGCATGGGTTTTATCGTTCGGCCGCTCGTTCGCGTGTTTAAGTGCTACACTCTCTACACGGCGCGGTGTTGTACCACGTACGCGCGAGTGAATCACGATGTGTAGACGTGAGATGACGATGTACTCCGCGTCTTCCACGTACATACGTGCCGGAATGTCTGGAACATTCTGGCCCGTTGCATGTGTGTCGCCGTTGCACGCGAAAGCTAATGCGCGTGGATCGCCTGACATTCTCAAAGACAAGGCTAAGGGTGGGCGTACTCGAATCCAGGCGTACGCTCGCTGAAGCCCGCATCGATTGTTCCGAAACTGTCGTGCAGGCGATCACAGCGACTCTACATTATGAGAGAATTGAAAAGGTGACGGAAACGGACCAATTAGTCGAAAATTATGACGCCGATGTCGAATGCTTCGACCTGTTTCGATCTCCATGTTCTAGCGTTTTTTTATTTATTTATTTTTTTTTTGTCACTTTTCGTTTAAACAAGCAAACTGTATGCACAAGTATATTCGTTTATCTCGCGGCTTGATTGAATTTTTACGTGACGCTGCGGAGGCGTTAATTCATTGCGATTTATATTTATATTTCACGAGAATTCCTCAATCGAATATCGTGTTTCATTGACGTTTGTTTGAATATTCGGATCGTAAAATCGTGAAATCTGAACATCCGACCGTTTATAAAATAAATCTGTCAGTTTTTAAAGATGGGCAGAGCAACAAGCGGATGGATAATATAATGATGTTAATTGATAATCTAGTGTTACTTTGCGTCATGCATAAATCGTTACGAGACGAATTTCGTTAATTACGTTGCATCAACAATTCATCCCAATGTGGAAGAGATTTAACGATGAAAACGAGAATCGTGGAAACGCTACAATTTTCAAACTCATTGAGATCGAGTCTAGTTCGCGTAATAACACCATAAGTAAGTACATTCGAGAGTGAACTAAACAGCAGCTCTATTTTTATCGTGAACTCTCCTCAACTCCTCAGGCAGTGTATTTTTGGTGTGCTTGTTATAGATATAGGGAAACAGAGATTCGAAATTAGCCCTCCACGTGATAGTTCTCGCGATAAACTCGCATTAACAGGAATAACTCGCAATGGGATAAAAGTATCATTTTATTTCCAATGGAACGGTATATCTGTTGAATCATCCCACAAGTTTGGTCTGTCTTTTATAATACTTGTTCAAAGTGAAATTTGAAATATAGCTGAGCAAGTGGCACGAAAATATGTAATCACCCTCTCTCGTGCTACAACTTCTTTCCATCTTTTGGAAAACAGTCGCTAAATTGTGCTCCTTGCCACTTCGACGTGTTCAATCAAATATCGACACATCGAACGTGAAAATTGCAAAGCGCAGAATTCAGATAGACGAAGATTAAGATTGAGTCATCGCGCAAATAAATAGCTTTGCTTGCAAGATAAGTTGTGAAATTCTAAAAATTCGAAACGTTCGCGAGGGAAATTAATTAAAAACGATAATAAATATTTAGAGCTTTCGATTGTTCTCGAATTGATAGTCTTTCCCTTTCGCCCACTTGTCAAATGTCGAATCGCATCGTCTCAAACGAGTCGTCAGAACTGGAGTTTTCGTAATTTTCAGATGCGAACCGGATAGAAACGATGAAGAAACGCGGCAACCATGAGACGAAAGCTGGCAAGGGACGACAGAACGAAACGAGCAACGCGGACGACAAGAAGAACGAGGAGAAGGACGACGCGCGTTTAAACGACGCGGAGAACCAAGGGTTCAGCGAGTGGCTCCGATCTAGCGACGGCCTCGAAATGATGCGGCTGTTCGTCATCGCCAATTCGATTCTGGTGTTCGTCACCGTTGGATTCCCAAAAATACAGGAGGCTTTCGGCGTCCTCAAGGACTACTATCTCGGAGAAACGGAGTAAACGGAGAACTTCGGACGAGGTTCGACCTTTTCGTCGAGATCGATATTACGCGATCGCGTTTTCCTCGAAACGATTCGACGTTCGTAGCTCGTGCATGCTTCGCTTCCTGAAACGTGAACCCTAGACCCTGCATCGGCGCAAAACGCGTAACACGATTCGACATCGAAGAGGACAACATCGATATACAGAAATATTTATTTTCGTCTTGCTCTCTCGTAACGCAGTATCGATTCTCTAGGTCGCAAAATATATATTCTTGCTCGTTTCATTCCGCTTCCCGAGAAACCGTAATTTGCAAATTTGAATACAGATTTCGTTAATTGAAATTCGCGGCTGGCCATGCTCGGGCTGATCGTTCGCGGCGTGTTCCTCGTCGGTATACTCACCTGGTACAGTACCAGTGTGTGGAAAATTATCGACGGCTACTTCAGGGATCAATTCCGCAGCTACCTGGAGGAGGAGTATCGAAAGAATCCGCGAATGAGAACGGACGTGCAGAGCGGCTCGGCCGATAACAGCGAGCCCTCGCTGACCGACTCGACGACTGCGCCACCGCGAGAGATACTCGAAGCTGCGGAGACGGCAGCGCGCGCGGTCGAGGCTGCAGAGAACGATTCCACGTCGGGGACGAGCGACGAGGAACGGATGACAGGTGGCACCAGTGAAAACGAGGCCAATGCAGGGGGATCGGCCGATAAAAATGCATTCCTGGGAACTGTCGCGGAATCGAGGCCCGCGGAAAGGAGGAAGCTGCTGCCCGAGAGCGGGCAGAAGGATTCTCGGCAGCTTATTAATGACGACGACCGTGACCTCGAGGAGAAGGAGCGTGGTCGTCGGTCAGTCTCACAGGCGTCTAAGGGCACGGCCAGAAAGACGAAACGCGGCAGGAGGCTGCCCGTCCCTAGGGACATTTCACGCGAGAGGCCAGAGCTGCCGAAAAGGCGGAACGTGAGGACGGTGACGTTCACCGAGAGGGATTTCAAGTCGGTGATCAGGGACTACGTTTCTAACGACGATTTCTGGGAGTTCGAGGAGGACGCGGACGAGAAGGAACCGCTGGAGGGCATTTTGGTGTCCGAGCTGCCGTTCAAGCCAAGAGCGGACATAGGGGATTTGGACAGGGTCACCGAGGACGAATACTGTCCCTTGAGCTTGGAAGACGAGGCGTCCTGCGGCGAGACGTTCAAGTGGCCTTGAAAATTCGAAATAAGTCGATAAATTGTAGAGTAGTGGAATATAAAGAATTTCGGCGGAGAGAAGATCGGTCGTTTCGCGATTCGCCCGATTCGTCGCGCCGTTTCAAAGGAATCGGTTTCTCATCCGGAATCTTTAATTTTGACAATTGAACGGCAGCTGCGAAAATATGCAGCCTTCGATTATTTACGCAAGCATTAGGTCTTGTGACTGTGAGTCGTTGAAAATAAAAATATATACTCTCTTCGAATGCCTGATTGAATTCTGCGAATACCTCTTATTCATATCCTCTAAACGCTGTTGAAGCTAATTAACTAGACTGCGGACTTTTATCAAGAGCATAATTTAAAAAAACAGAATCTAGACAGAAGTTTGCTTTGTATGTTAAACAGCAAGTATCTTACTTTCGATATTTTGTACAGAAATCGACAGTCTACTAATTTAATAAAACCTGACATCAAAAGTCTGACTGTCAAAATCTGGCAAAAACCACGATAATAATTGGAAATAATTCTTGCGCCGGTCGTCGAGGAACGGCGTGAGTTCAAGGCACGGAATGTGCTCGGCTAATTTTTTCCCCGTAATCTTTAAAAATCGCCCGACAAATGAAAACACAGGCGTAACAGGTCGGCGCTATTGACTTTTTGCTTCGGACGAAGAAGTCTCGACGAAGGAGGCTGCAAAATGCGCCCCGTCACTTCAAGTGCAATCTCTCCCCCCGCGCGGACAAACTTCCAATCTACAGAAAGAAGTTGCTCTCTCTCGAAACTCTCAACGCGATAAATTTTCACCCGGCGATCAATCACGCGCGAAGCACTATGACGAGGAAGAAAAGAGAACGATCATCTGGGTCAATGTTAGCCGCTGCGAGTTTCCCGCGTCGCGTCGACGCACGGTGCCGTAAAGAACGGTTCAATGGTTCGACGGAAGGAAGAGCAAAAATTGAAGGACCTAAAGGGGAGGATAATCAGGTTAATGTGAGCCGATGATAATGTGAAATCGCAGTGTATAAAAAGAAAGACCGTGTCGTCGCGACAAGAAAGAACGCGCGATCGGGGCTTCTTTGATAACTTAATTGCCTTCTGTAACGAGGATGACTGAATAGAAGGTAAATATAAAAAGATTGAGTGCGCGGGAGTAAATGGTGTAAAAGGCCTAATTTTCTTACAGGGTCGAGTTACACGGTGCATGAAATACGGAGATAAGAAGGAGATAAAACTGTTGAGAAGAAGAGGAAATGGTCCATTAAGCCACCTAAATATCTTTTCAAATTGTTTTATGATGCAAAAACTATTTTTCGCCTAGCATGAATGGCCAATAGGTCATCGATGCTTCTTTTCTACTAATAACTATATATATATATATATATATATATTTTTTTTTATTGTAGTCGTGTAGCTAGTAAAAGATACGTTCAGATATGTAAAGAATATGATTTTGAAAATTTAAGTTTCACATATAAATTCAACTCTATCAGAATCGCAGACGCGACGATTGGGAGTCTTATGATAAATGTAAATAAAAACGTTTACTGTTCATTGCATCGTCAATGATAATCTCTTCTAATAGCTTGAAATCCTGATCCAGTGTGAAATAATTCAACACAATCAGCAATAATTCACGCTCTTTTCGTTGATAACAGATACTTCAAGTTTGAGCAAAACGCGGAACTGTGTCTCCTTTTTTTAAAACAAGAACAAAGTTAAAATATGAATTAGAATTCAAGGTAAGAAACGTAAGAAACCACCGCGCGTATCCGTGGCTTTAATTGCTCTTAATTGTCAAACGAACGTATCAATTATCATAAATAAATCAGCCGGTTTGAGGCACGAGGGGGCCGACTTGGTAAGGCGGTCACACGGTTACTATATCGATTCTGTTAATATACTTTCCACCATAAACAAACATTCGTGACCAGAGAATGGTCGGAGGAATCAAGGTCACAGGGGTATCCTTTGACCCTGAAATTGCGGCCTCGCACTGCAGGGGAGAAACTAGGGAGTTGATGTGAAAGTACAGAGAAATTCGCGATTTATGATCTCTGCGCGAGGTTACGCTCGCCAAGGAAAATCAAACCGAGCAACGGAGATTCCGAACAGAGATCGCATACCGATGTATCAGAGGTACCCATGAGTAATGCTTTCAAATTTAATAAACAATCTAGTGACGATAATTCAACTTGTCATAACATAATCTACATTCTAGTTAAATATATCATTTAGCGTGCTTATTGTTAAACTACATTATAGATTAAAGCTGAAATAAAATTATCAAAAACCGATATTAGTTGTGGACAGCCCTGATAATACAAATATTGCTAAAAATTGCACCATGTCAAGTGAAAATGAAAATTCCGATATACAGATGAAATGGAAAAAAATGCTAATGCAACCGAAGCAACAAAGGAGAAGCAAGAGATTATGTAATTTCCTTAATTAACACAATCTCTTTGAATTTAAAGGATCGATCAAAAATCATTTTCTGAAATTGCTCGATTGATAAAGTCGAAGAGAAACATTTCCAACTTTTGGTAAAAGAATGGGAATACTATTAGAAGCTATAAAAGTTATAACACGATTTGATCTAATTTGTGTTTTTTTATTCACCAGTACTATATAGATACTATATCGAAATGCGGCTATACTGATATAACCTGGTTTCAATGACATCATACCAATGATATTCGAAGAATTTAGTTTCCATTAATATAACAGAATAATAGAATAGATTATAATAGAATAATAGATAAATAAATTTAAAACGCGGGTTTTTTACCGATATTTGTAACAGAAATTCGATCTCTCGTCTCCGAATGCAAAAAATTTGTATTATCTTCATCTCGCTGCAGTCATTTTCGCCCGATAAGATATCACTTATGCTTCCGTGAATTGCGATATTGTTCTGCTCGTTCACGAAATATTTTTATACAGATCGTGGCTGTCACATTTCTACTGTGCTCTTTTTACATTGTCTTGAATTTCATACACGGACAGAAATTGATACATCGTTCTCGTCGTTTTGTTACAGGAACACGCGTACACTCGTATAAATTCCTGTCATTCGAATCAAGTGTGAATTTCTAATGAAACGATTGCGATGTTAGATCATCGGTGTCCATGAAGTGTCGAGGTCTCGATTAAAGTCAATACAAACTATGCACGTATTACAGGTTGATTCACGTAACTTGCACATCTGAAATAATTTTTAAATTATGCGTCTAATGAAAAATTGTTATATACAAGTATGGTTTTGAGGGAAGCAAAATATGGCGTATCAAATATTTTTTCGAAATGAAGTGATTTTCGAAATTCCCAATTTTTTACGTTAGAAAGATATATGGTCCAACTAAAAAAAAAAAATGAAAATGACCTTGAAACTTCCGAAATCCATAAAAAATTGACACGCCATATTTTTCCTCCCTTAAAACCATACAACTTTCGTATTCAACAATTTTTCATTAGACGCGTGATTTAAAAGTCATTTCAGGTGTACCAAGTTACGTGAATCACCCTGTATATTATCCTCACCGTATCGTTAATTAATCTTTCGACACATGGATAATCCGTATAAATCGATTTTAATCGAGATGTGATAAAATTCATCGTCCAATGATCCATATTAAATTAAATTTCTTACTAAAATAAATTAAATTTCAGTTAAATTTGTCTTCGGTTGTCACGACCTGCTAAGAAAATTTACCAACACCAAGGTAAGATCCGTATTGAGGATTCTGTATCATCGAATATAATACTGCACAGTGTAACGAGCAATGTACCTAATCTCTTTCTCTCTCAACGAAACGTTTCGTCTCGCTGCAACAGATAACAAACACGATACTTGGAAGAAGAAAAAAAAAAAGAAAATTGGAAAAAAAAAAAAAAAAAAAAAAAAAAAGAAAAGAGCGCGAGATCCAATTACTTCGATTGTATCGTTCGCTCCGATTCTACGTGCCCGCTCGCCGCAAATAAACGAATCCGCGTAAAAATTCGCATCGTTGAACGCAACGTTCTATTTTCCAGCGAAAACCGTTTCGCAGTCGGCATTGAAATTAATGATTTACTAACGGACATCTGAGGCAACGGTTAATGCAAATTGGTGCACGGATAGCGCCTAGACACTTCGCGGACGCAAGCGGATTCAGAAAATTCGCTCGCTTATTTCATTCAGAGGACAAGAGGGCTCGACGCCCTCGAATGTCGTCCAAAGCGCTACTTTTGCTTCTACAGATCGTTTTTCGCGAGGCCAATTAAATTAAGCAATAGTAACAGAATAGTAACTGCCCCCTTTCAACACTAGAACTACAAAAATGGTCAAAATGGCCAATATGTGATTTTTGTTAGAAATTTTCTAGATTTTGTAGGTCCTAGATTATTTAAACAATTTCTTGTAAAATGTATAAATAGAAGCTTAGTGTACTCCATTGTATTATAAAGTTGTTCTATTTTTTTTTTTTTTTTTTACTTTAACGTCTCTAATGAACATTTTCTGTTTTAATCGTCGGTTTGCTCTAATGCTAATTGAAGACTCGTTCACGACCTTCGTTTTCGCACGAGAACAATCTGATCGCTCGCTTTGTTCAGACAATAATCGACTATAATCCGACGCCTTTGAAAACTAATCGAGCCTTGAATTTTAATAAAGGTGTGAAATTACAGTCGACGTAGCATTTCCCAGAATTAGCTGTGAAACTTAGCTTAATTGCTGAGGACAATTAACGAGCGAAATGACGAGCAAAACTCGTGTGGAATTTTAATATCGAGAAGATAATATTTTATCAAGTATTTGCATGCAGAATACTTGAAAAATAGAAAAGAATATTTTGTAGAATATTCTAGATTCTCCGGGAAAATTCTATTACTATGTATCATAGTCACTGTTTCCGTGGAGTCAGTTTTGCTTCGCAATTAATGTAAATGAAAAATTATCGATAATATAGTTGGTTGGAACGTAAAACAGTTCGTTTTGACTGTTTTGAATTCGTTTTTTTTCTTTTCCAAGAAAAATGTTCTTTCTTAAAAAAAAAAAAAAAAAATGTGGTAACAATTCAAACGTATGCAACAGCACTGAAAAATTTTATTCACGACTAAATCCATCGTAGTCTTAAAGATTGAAGTTTTCCCTCCACAACGAGACCCTTCAAAAAACTCTTGCTATAAGATTTTTATTCGTTAGTTTATTGAACTTTGAACATTAGAATTAAATCAGTCGAAAAATCCCAACGTTTCGTCATTTAAAGTTTAATAAAATTAAAAAAAAAAAAGAAAATTATACAACATGATTGTAA